ACACACCACAGTCACGCACAGATGTACATACAGACGCACATACCACAGTCACACACAGATGTACATACAGACATACACCCCAGAGTGACATGAACAGATGCACACACATGTGCACACAGTAGAGTCACTTGCATACATGACACAGTCACACACACACACAGTCTCCTGGCTGGAGATGTCAAACACCTCTTTGGTTAGAGAGGTTTAATTCTCCCAACATTACTCTTACTTGCTGGGGTATATCACAGAGCACTTACTAAATCTCAAGAGATGCTCTGGTCCACAAAACACAGAAGTTACTTAATTTAGCTGCTTACTGTGTATCTTTCCATAGTCTAAGAGATATAATCAGCTATAATTTTAAACAATCTATTTAAAAGATTGAGAAAACAAGAAGTGACTCGAAATGAAAATCTTTTCAATCTAAATTTCCCTTTGAATTATCACTGAGAAACATTAGTTGTTTTGTTTCAGAATCCAGGCCACACACAGGACTCCCCCAGCCTCTTCTGCGGGTGGGCGCTGCTGCCCTGGGCCTGACCACACCTGCAGCCTGTGGGAGCACAGCCACAAACGCGCGTCTGCCTCCGTGTGTGTTGCTGTTTAGAGCACCTGGCAACTCAGACATGTCAGATAAGTAACTTCAGAGGTTCGAGACAGAGAAGTCCACACTGAGGATGGAGTGTTCTGGGATGTGGAGTGACCACGTGGCTTTTAGGCAAAGCCACAAAGATTCCAACCCAAAGTTTACTCCACGTGGTCATGGTATCTTTCTTCTGGGCATGAAGGAGACTCTGCTATAGAACACAGGCTTCTTGATGTGAAAGACAGAGCTTTCTGCTTATGGGGCTAAAGCCCAAGCTCACTGGGTGGCATGGAGGTCCCTTCCCGGTCACCTGGGGATCCTCTTCACTTGGGCTGCTTCTGGCCACACCCTACTTCCTGGCCTCTCCCTGACACTACACTTGTAGGTACTTGAACTTGCTTTGCCCACCTGAACTGTTATTGGAATTCTCCAGGGCACAGCCACCTCCTCCTAACTCCAGGGAGCAGAGTCAGGTGTCTCCCTGGTCGCCAGTGCACAGTGGAGCTAATAACTCCTGGGGCTGGCCCTGCTCAGCAGGGTGGTATCCATGGCTCTGGAAATGGCCTGCTGCTTGGGCACCACCTGGGCAGCAAAAGCTCAATTCGCAGACGTGGGGTTAGGGCCCATGCTGCCCCTGCCTGACACTGGCTCTCTAGGCACAGTGACAACTGGGTAATCCTATTCCTCACTGGTCACCTCATCTGGGTCCTTGGGTGTCAGTCCAGGAAGCGGGCTTGTGCGCACATGACTGTGACCTGCCTCACCAGCACCCACCTGTCAGGGCCAGCCAGCAGCTGCCACACATGAAGTGACCTTAGAGGCCAGCCATGAGGTCTGCACAGAGTCGCGTCAGCCTGCTCCAGCGCAAGTCCCTCTCCTGCGCCGACAGCAAACGCACTGAGCAGTGGACGTCCCTGGACTGACCCCACAGCCCCTTTCCTCGCCTCACCCAGCTTCTCAGCACACCGACCAGGGTGCTGGCAGCAGTGGCATCTGTGCTCAGCGCCCGCTCACGGGGCTCTGAGCTGGACGTGCTCCATGCATTTCAGCGCACAGGACCTGAAGGCCAGCTGGGATGCGCCATAGGCAGGCAGGCAACCCAGTTCCTCCACTGCCCGAGAGGGATCGCGTGTCTACTTACATGGGGGTGCTCTCCTCAGCATGGTGTCCCGGGGGGCGGACCACAGCAAAGCCATTCTACAGAGGGATCAGACAGGTGGGAGAGAGTGACGAAACACATTTACACCCAGGAGGAAACTGGCACAAAGGGGCCTTTCAGCAGACTCGGGATGTGCTGGAGGGTGTGGCTTCTGGCTGCAGCCAGGCCACATTGCCTGGGACAGGTTATGGGGATGGCTAGGAGCCCTTCAAAGAAGTCTGGGCCCTTCCTCTCACAGGGGTGAGTGGAGGGGCCAGGAAAGCCCAGTTACTAAAATTAGAGGCAACTTGGCCCTGCCTTTCTCTCTGTGAAGCCTGCTCAGCTGGGGACCTGGGGCAGTGCTGAAGGTACGTTCCTGCCCTATGGGCTCATGACCAGCACCCAGCAGGTAGCAGCCTGGGGAGCCCCGGATGGGGATGAGAGGAAAGGCTCTGCTCAGTCTGCTGTGGGGCAGAGGCTCTGTGCTCCAGCTTGGCCTCTATCTGACCATCTCTGTCCTCAGGGCAGTTCAGCTCCTGGGGAGGAGGCAAGTAGGTGACACATAAAACCAACAGCTCTATCAGCACCAAGGAAGAAATGCAGAGGCTGGAGCATGACTTCATGCTCCCCAGCCTGTCATGTATGCTTTAGAAACCATCTGCAAACGGCTCTGCAGCTGTTTCAGTAAGAAGGGTTTGCAGGGGCACCCTCACCATCCCAGTTTCACAGCAATAGGAAGCAGTATGTGCAGGGCCCATGACAGCCCCAACAGGCCAGCCGCCCATTGAAGACTGTGTCCTGGAAGGTGGTAGGCTGGCCGGCCACAGGGACGGGGCTCAATGACAGGGCAGTGAGGGAGGTAGAGGGACAAACCCACCCTCAACACACAATTCTGTAGGAGCCCTCGCCATGTCCCCCCACCTGCACACTACATGGGGATCCAGCGTGGGGGGTGCCTTGCCTTCACACGTGCACAGCTTTCCTGCCCCATCACTGTACTGACGGCCACACTGAAGGGGCAGGGCCCTGGAGGGCAAACCCCCAGGGGCTCCCACAGCCCTGCACAAGCAGGTCCTGCCCAAGCAGGTCCTGCCCATGCTCACTGCATGTGTTGGGGACAAGGCAGTTTCTTTTAAAATTGTCCTCAGTGAGACAGAAGTTACACATTTTATTAAGTTTTCACCCTCAAACATGAGAACTTTTACCATCCCGAGTAAACTGCCAGGAAGGAGGCTGCTGGGAGCAAGAGGAAACCGTGGCAGCCATCTGAGCAGGGGACTGGGGGGCTCCTCAGCCCACAGGACCCTGACAGAAGGATATGGAGAAACTACAGTTACCCCAAGTGGATAAATCTAAGACAGGTCTCAAAATCCAATGAAGGGAATTGTTATTCAAAGGAAAATGGCAGGCAGGTTGTCAGGGGTATAATTTGAGCTTTCAAGTGAAAACTACCAGCTTGGAGAACATGAGCCTGTCTGTGATATGATACTCTCCGAGCGCTTACAAGGCTTTTCTGGTGAGGTGGGTGAAGACACGTGCATCAGTGGGTCCAAAAGTTCATGATTCTTTGGTGCTGTGTAGCGTGTCTGGATTTGGAGGATCAATATAACTCAGTGAACCTGGATTTCCAGATGATGACATCTCCTGCTGCAGAATCACACCTCTGTAAATACCTCACAGGCTGGAAGGGCTCATGGGCATGGCCAGAACGGAGAGGGCCCTGACCTGGCTTCAGACGCTATGGGGCAGTGAGTCTGCAGGACACTGCCTCCTGAATTCCGGGCTGGCATCACAGAAGGACACCCCCACACAGCTGACAAGACTATTAAGACATCTTTTCCAGTTACAGACCTGCGCGAGGCCAGGCTTCTCTATAACCTCAACATGTCGCACAACCATGTCGCCGTGGGAACTCAGCTATCATTTACGAGCAGATGTTGTTATTTATAAATTAGTAAATATTTAAAAAAATTTTCAGTTTTAATCTCTAATATGGTCAATATTGATGGTGAAACTCATAGAATCTCTGCACTGAGCATGTGTGGTCACAAATGTGGGACTGTCTCTCTGCTTCAACAGTGCAAGGCTGTGCTGAGCCCCAGTCCCGAGTCCTCTCTGTGTCCCTCTCCCAGGCCTTGTCCTGGAAGCTCACGCCACCCAGGCCTCAACCTACCTTCAGCTCCCCTGTGGCCACCTTGAAAACCAGCTCCACCACACAGCCCACAGCCAGGCGGGCCGCCCCCGACGAGTGCACCTCGTTCCATATGGTGTCGCTGTCCACCTGTGGAGACAGCACCTGCAGTGAAGCCGATGTCTGAAGTCACTGTCACCCCCCAAGCCCCTGTGGGCCGTGCAGCCTGCAGGCCCCGAGAGCCCAAGGGCTCTGTCTCTGAAAGCCCAGGACCTTCCAGACAGGAAAGACCCAGCCTAGGTCTGGGCTTACTTCTTCCTGGGACACGTGAAACACACCACACAGAAAAACAGAGTGAACATACTAGAAATAAGACATGTTTTCACTTGTTCTGAGGTGTCCTTTCTTTGCTCAATTGCTCCACCATACCGGGGTAGAAAAGCAGGGTTGTCAGGATTACTTGCTCCCCTTTTTCCTGCTACCATAGTTAAGAGTTATTGGGACTGCATCTTGAATCGCAAAAGTCTGAAACGCTACCAAGTCTGAAACTTTTTGGGTGCTCACATGACTCTCAAAATATGCACATGGTAGTGCTCAGATTCTGGATTTTTGTATTAGGGATGCTGAACCAGCACGCATAATGCAAATACCCCAACGTTTGAAAAAAAAATCTGAAATACTCTGGTCTTGAGTATTTAGGATAAGGGATAGTCAACCTATACTAAAAATCAGCAAATGAGATGTCAGAGAAGAATCAGGGAGGGGTGTCTCCAAATCACTGCTTTATCGTGTGCCAAAAGTAACCAGAGGCTAAATGTTGACAGCAGGAGCTGAGCAGGCCCGGGCAGTCACCCTGCTCGGCCCCTGGTGACAGTAAGAAAGACCATTAGACATTTGCGTCTCAGACAGAAAACTTTCACACAGGTGTGTCCAACAATCTCTCTGTTTAAGTTCATTTATTTCAGGCACATTATTTATTTATATATATATTTTTTAAGCACTGGCTAACAAGGGTGAGGAAGAAAACAGCCAGCAGTCCTATGAGGAATAGTCTCCCGATGGAGCCTGGCCAGGACCAGAGGGCTGTGAGGAAGCACATGGCCACTGCCAGGCCCTGGTGACTGTCCCAACGTCCTCCTCGCCAGTAGGATGCTGTGGGCTAGGCAAGCCACTTCCTCGGACAGACACACTTGAACTTTGTGCCCTTCCTGGGGCCATGCCAAGCCTGGTGATGCCCCCAGCTTTATAGGAGGAACCCTACTTCTCAAGCTGACCTCCCTTTGGCACTGCGGACTTTGGGGGTCTCCAGGCTGGGGGCAATCCTGCCTGCCCTGCTCTCCTCTGCCCCGGCCCGGGCTCACACAGGCTCCTGCCTGCCCAAGGCCAGCGTGCCACTTGACTGCACCGATCATTACGTGGGACATGGGGTTTCTTTCCAGGCTGTCTTGAAGCTCCATCTTCAAAGCAAGTCATTTAAAATGCATTTACATGGCACTGAAGATATTTCCTGGAGAGTACACTAGGTGATGGTTTATTCTCTTCAATAGCCGAACCTCTATGTTCTTGAAATAGTTTCCAAATGTCAGAAGCATGCCCTCTACTTTGCCTGCTCTCCAAAGCATTGACATTCAACTCATCAAGAATAGCCCCTACCACACAATGCTATCTTGTTATTCACTGAAGCAGGTTACCTCAGCAGCAGAGACGCTGCCATGACTGAGTGCCAGGCAACAGAGGCCACCAGCTGCCCTGTGCCCTTGGGGTGGCAGGTCCTGGATGGACCAGGCCCAGAGCCTGTACCTGTGAGGACAGCAGTTTGGCCCAAAGTACTCAGAGATTCTTTCCCTTCAAAATGCGAGAACCTGGGCTTTAGGACTTGAAATGCGACAGGGAGGGGAAAGGGGCCTCTCTGGGCTCTCTGCCTCCTGGGGCTGCTCAGCATGTGGGGTGCCTGTGGCAGGAGGCAAGGCCAGTGCCATCCCAGTGACCTGGATCACCCTGCACAGCATAAGAGACAAACCCTCCTGCACCCCCTGGCTCCCAGAAGTACAAGGCTCCTGGCCAGGGACAGACTTAGGCCACAGTGCTGCCGAGAGCTAGGCAGGAAGAAATGGATTCAAGAAAGGGCAGAGGCTCAGGCTGGGTGTCATATGGAGGAGAAAGAAACACACTGGAGGGGAAACAAGCAGAAATTCCCCCTGGGAACATCACAGAGAGCTGAACTGGGACACACTGAGGGCGCCAGTCCTGGAGATGCCTTGGAGAGCTAGGCACGGCCACAGCATGCAGGGCAAGGCTCAGGGGGAAGTTCAAGGGCACGCCTCCTCACTCATCTGAAACTCAGTTAGGAGAGGAACAAAAAAGTTTATTTCACTTGAAAAAAGGTTGTAACAATTTTAAGGAAGGTGAGTTTTTTTAATTAAATGATAGCTATGTACATTAATGCAATCATGGGGTACAGTGTGGTGTTTTCATATACAATTTGAAATATTTTCATCAAACTGGTTAACATAGCCTTCATGTCATTTTCTTATTGTGTTAAGATGTTTATATTATACTTTTAGAAAGATTCACTTATACCCTTGTAAGATAAACCATAGATGGGATCCCTTGAATCACCTTCCCTCCACCCATCCACCCCTCCCCCATCCCCATATTCTTAGGCTATAATTAGGTTATAGCTTTCATATGAAAGTTATGAATTAGTTTCATAATAGGGCTGAGTACACTGGATACTTTTTCTTCCATTCTTGAGATACCTTGCTAAGAAGAACATTTTCCAGTTCCATCCACGCAAACATGAAGGAGGTAAAGTCTCCATCTTTCTTTAGGGCTGCATAGTATTCCATGGTGTACATATAGCACAATTTATTGATCCATTCGTGGATCGATGGGCACTTGGGCTTCTTCCATGACCTAGCAATTATGAACTGGGCTGCAATAAACATTCTGATACAAATATCTTTGTTGTAATGTGATTTTTGGGTCTTCTGGATATATACCTAGTAGAGGAATTGTAGGATCAAATGGCAGGTCTATTTTTAGATCCCCATGTGTTATCCAAATATTTTTCCAAAAGGAACATATTAGTTTTCATTCCTACTAGTAGTGTAGAAGTGTTCCCTTTTCTCCACATCCACGGTTTTGGGATTTTGTGATACGGGCTAATCTTACTGGAGTTAGCTGATATCTCAAAGTGTTTTTGATGATTAAGGATGGTGAGCATTTTTTCATATATCTGTAGGCCATGCACCTATCTTCTTCCTCCTGCCTTGTTTTTATTTTTGAGTAATGTCTTGGCTATTTGAGGTTTTTTCTGATTCCATAAAAATGAAGTATTATTTTTTCAAGATCTTTAAAGTGTGACAGTGGAGCTTTAATAGGGATTGCATTAAAATTATATATTGTTTTGGGTAGTATGGACATTTTAACAATGTTGATTCTTCCCAGCCATGAGCATGGTATATTTTTCCATTTGTTAACATTTTCAGCTATTTCTTTTCTTAGAGTTTCAAAGTTCTCTTTATAGAGATCTTTCATATCCTTTGTTAGGTAAACTCCCAAATATTTTATCTTCTTTGGCACTACTGTGAACGGAATAGAGTCCTTGACTGTTTTTTCAGCTTGGCTGCTGTTGGTATATATAAAAGCTACAGATTTATGAGTGTTGATTTTGCAACCTGAGACGCTGCTGTATTCCTTGATCACTTCTAAGAGTTTTGTAGTCAAATCCTTGGGAGTTTCAAACTTAAAAAAAGTCCCCTTGCCCACTCTGGGAGGCTAAGGTGGGTGGACTGCCTGAGCTCACGAGTTCAAGACCTGTCTGAGCAAGAACAAGAGCCTGTCTCTAAAAACTAGCTGGGTGTTAGCAGGTGACTATAGTTCTAGCTACTCAGGAGGCTGAGGCAAGAGGATCACTTGAGCCCAGGAGCTGAAGGTTGCTGTGAGTTACAACGCCATGGCACTCTCCTGAGGGCAACATTGAGACTCTGTCTTAAAACAAACAAACAAACAAAAAAACCCAAACTTTGAAAGTCCCAGCTGCATGCCCCAGATGCCAACCTGATGTTGCTCCCAGAGCACGCGGGCCATCCTTGCCTGCCATCTCTCCAGGGGAGCATTCCGAGTCCATCCACACTCAGGTTCCTGGGTCCACACACCAAAGGGCTAGCCCCTGGCTCTGGAAGGGGACACCAAGGCATGAGTGGGCTGCATATGTGCCCGTGATGGGTAGTCCAGCCTAAAGTCAGGGCAGGAGACTGTGCCACCTGCTGTGTCTTCCAGCTAGAGGTCATTTTGGAAAACAATGGGAAGAAACATAACCTAAGGACTCCCACTCTCCACTGCTGGTGAGCCCTGGCACTTCAAGCTTGGGAGGGGCTGTCCAGACTCAATCCCAGGGCTAAGCCTGCATTTAGCTTTCATTTGCGAATTATAAATTGGGCTTTGCAAAGGCTTGCTGGCTGCAGGGCAGTGCAAATGCAGATCTTTCAAGTCTGGCCAAAAATTTGCCCTGAATTAAGAGATTGAAGCCTATTTACAATACAAAATAAAATAACTCTAGGAGAGCTTGGTGGTGGTATGAATAAATGCCATTTATTCTCTTTCTGACGGGATAATTTTCAAAGCAGCGATTTCTGTAAAGACTCAGGAAGAAAACAATTTTGTTTCATTTCCATAACAAAATCCAGACCTTCGCTTCACCCTGTGATCTGTGATGACACACTGTGTTCCAGCTCCAACGGCCTTGCTGTCCACCAACTCCTGCCCACCATGCCTGTGCCCGCCTGCTTTGTTTCTCAGTGCTGTGGAGCTGTAAGGTTCGGCAGACTGTCCACAGGGCTTGGCCTCCCCCCTTCAAGTCGAAGCTCTGTCACTGCCCCCCCCCCCCACCGTGCATCAGAGAGCAAGGGGGCCGGGGAGAGCCTTGGTCACTGCGAGGGGTGACTGTCTAGACAGAGAGGCGGACAACCACACTATATGGTCCTTTGCAATTCAAGGTCCAGGCCAGTTTCACACTGTGTGTGGTAGAACAGAAGAAAGGCCAGTCCAGCCCAGCTGGCAGCCTGGCAAATGCCACAAGGCCCTGCAGTCTGTGGTTACCACACTGAGGGCTGCACCTGCAGCCTCAAGTGTGGAATCTGGGTCTGAGCAGAGACACATTTCCTTGGGACAACACAATGCTGCCGAAACCAGTGCTTCACAGCTGCAGACTTAGGAGGAGATGAGACACCAGCTTATTTTTACAGAGAGAGCCAGCTCCCACCAGAGCCTGAGCCGGTGTGCCATACAACCTTCCCCAGAGAAGGTACCTGAGTCCTGCAATCCAAATGCTTAAGGCTCATGCGGCCTTTGAAGCCACACATGGCAGCCCCTACCGCCAGCCCCTGTGTATGGAAAACACCTGGCAGCAATTATCCACTCTGAGGAGAGCAAGGCTACGATTTCTGCGACCGCTGGGACTCAAGGAGAAACAGGACATTATTTACACATTAAAGAAATACTCACCCCAACGCCACCGCAAGGCAGCCTGACAAACACCGAGGTTAGCGAGCCTGTGGGGAGAAGGGAGCTGTCAGAAAGACTGAGGTCATGGGGAGCCAGGCACAGCATGGGCTCTGGGGACACTGGAGTCATCCACGTGGCGTGGCACTTGTGAGACACACACAATAGGACACTTTCTGGGGGGCAAGTGCCCCCCAGCCTGGTGTGGCCCTGCTACAGCTCAAATTCTCACAGCACCAGCCAACTCCTTAGGGGGCTTAGGAGACTCCCAGCCACCAGGGAAACAAAGTGCCCTGACAGGTGTCTGTCCCCAGCCCAACCCTGTGCCCATGTCCCTAAGGACTTGTCTGCCACAAGCACAGCAGCCCAGGCTCCTCAGAGGCCCTGTCTGCCACACCCAACACCTGCTCTGGTTCTGAGGCCCTGAAGCTATCCCCACCGCAGCTAGGAAGACTGCGAGCACGATGGCCCTCCTGCTCCCAGGCTCAGGCCAGGCACAGCTGGCCATGCACAGAACTACCTGGGTGTCTTTTTCCTCAGTTTGGTCCCAGTCCTATATGACTGCAGATGACCAGCATAAAACCTGCCTGTCTCCAAATGGGTGGCTGCCCTGCCTCAGCCTGGAGGAGACTCAGGCCTGTTGCTAGCTTACTTCCCCTAGCAGGCTCCTGCACAGCCCGGGACCCCACTTTCCGGCCCTGATTTGGGGTGGCAGCTCCTGCTCTAGACGCTCCTGGGTCCTACTCCTTGCTCCAGCTGCCTGGTGCCCAAGGAATGAGCCTGGCCTTGGGGTTAGTAGGGGCCCTGGCCAGTTAGGTGACCTTGGATGAATGAGAAGAGCCCCTCCTTGGGGGGACACATGGTGCTTGGGAAGGGCTCAGGAGCTCTAGGAGTGGTGAGCATGGAGGGTAAGCTCTATAGCACCATCTGCTCCCAACTGTGGGTGGACCCAGACAGGCCCTGAGTGCAGAACTGGTCCATGAATTAGACATTGGTGACATTATGATATTGTCACCCACCAAGCAGAGACCACAGCAACACAAGCCCAGGCACATTGTCATGTATTCACACCCCCTTCCCCACAGCGGGGGGGGGGGGATAGGACTGAGTCACAGGAAAGCTGTTTGGGTGACAGAGGTTCAAAAGTCCATGTCAGCCCCTTGGCTGTGTCCCTGCCCCAGGAGCGCTGGCATTCCACCCAGAGCCCAGGCTGCCCGTCACTGCCTCCTGAGGTTTGGGGCCATAGTCACCCAGAACAGGCCACAAAACCTTTTGCCCCGAGTCGGTGGCCACTCTCATCTGTCCACCTAGAGCAGGCAGTAGGTGTCCTGTGCCTGGTAATGGGATGGGAAAGACACTGACTGCCCCTTAGTAAGTGCTGCTATCCTGGTGGGGGCCAGCCATCCTGCTGCCCTTCCCTGAGCGGTGCCAGGCTTGCTCCCAGGGGGCCCAGCACCAGGCTGGGGGCCCCTTCAATGCAGTGCTATGCCAGCTGCCATTGGTGAACCCTGTGACTGCTGATGACCTCCATAGCAGCGTGGCCAGCCTGTCCCAGGTGCCCACGGTTCAATTCGGACGAGTATAGTGCAAGTGGTACATCACCACACCAGTAACTGACCACAGTGGGCCTTTTCAATGTGGCCTAGAAATCTGTGGACTTAATTAAAATAGGAAGAGAAATCACACGATAGTGTTTAAACATCTCATTAGGGTTATACTAACAAATCTGAGATAATCACCAGCTATTACTATATTTTAAATACTGAGACTGATGATAATGGAATTCCTTGGTTAGGAAAACTGTCAGAAATTTAAAAATGGATCTCAAGTGGTGAGAGGTAATGGATTAAGTCATCCTCACAGTAATGGGAATAGGTTTTAAACACAAAGCTCAGCAGGACAGAAAAGGAAACAGCATGATTTATAACATCATTGATGTAAATTAAAAACACACATACAACAACAGGCTTTGCACTAACTACTTGGTTAACAAAAGAAAGTCTATTAAAATGGCTGCCTACGGGGGAGAGGAGTGGGGTGAGAGGATGCAGAAAAACATTTCAACAAAGACGCTAAAAGCGAGGGAGGGTCTTCAGGGCCCTCGCTGGCTGTGAACAGGACCAGGGCCCACATGCAGCCCCCTCGCAGCCAACACAGGTTGGTAAGAAAGCCCCAAGTTACGGCAGACCTGCCCTTTACTTTTCCCCTAAAGATACCACATGTCTGATTTTCCTCTTGCATTTTAGATGTTTTGTCTTAGACCTAGTTTGAAATGAGCTTAAAAACCTGCAACAGTCTCCCCCTTGGTGAAGTGACACCTGCCTTCACCCTGACCTTGACACTGCCCTTAGCCCTGCTGAATTTCTGGAAGACTGACAGTCAAAGGACACTTGGTTAGTGGGTGGGCCCTTTGAAAACAGAAAACAGGGTGTCTGGATGGCCTGGGCAGAGCGGCTACCCTTCTGAAAGGAGATGGAACCACTGTAGGGGTGAGAGGCATGGCGGCAGTGACCCTAAGGGACCGACGGCTCCAACATGGGGCCACCCAGCGACTTGGCAGGCCTGTTGAGGCAGCACAGTGAGCCTCATGACCCGGGTCCCTTCCACCCTGGGACCCACGGGCAGCCTCTCTCCCTGAAGATCATGCCAGGCAGCCAGGGCTCCTGGTCAGGACCTGCAGAAGCCTGAGGACAGAGGACGCTGGCCTGCTGGCCTGCTGCCTTGCAGCACATGGCCCTTGCTCACTCAGCTCCAACCTGCCAGATACCTGCTGACTCCACTGTCCATACTGCCCCGTCCTAATAGGCTCCATTCCTTGGGCTCCATCTCTCCTGTCCCCCCATAAGCTACTTGGATTGGTGGCTCTCCTTGTACCAACTTCTGCTTCTAGGACCCCCTGAGCCACTGTGTCCACGCAGTGCTCATGCCCTCTCTGGAGATAGTTGCCTCAGCTCCGGTCCAGGGCCACCTCAGTCTTCCTGCTCTGCTTTGCCCTGGAGTCCTGCTCCATGTGGTGAGGGGCCGGGCACCTGGGACACCCCATAGCTCTGAGTATAGGAGCACATGGGCGCCTGCTCACTGGAGGGTCTTCATCCAGGGACAGCGTCCTTCCCAGCCCTGTTCCTGTCACAGGGAATCTGCTCCTGCCTCTGGCCAGTCGTCTGCAAGCCTCTCATGGTTTCACCTCCTGGGACTGTGCCCTACCCTACGACGGCGGAGCTTTGGGAAGCAGCTGAGTAGCAAGAACAAATCTTGCTGTGTCAGCAAAGACAAAAATGCCTGTGAGGTGATGGCTCTCAATGCGTCTAGGGGGGCAGGGTTCATGACAGCAAGTACCTGGCAGGGTGTAGACTGGGATTCCCTCCTGGTCCTGGGTGACAGTGTGTAGGCTGTAGGGGTATAGCCAGGCTGTGGGAAGAATAGGAGTTGCACAGCTGGAACAAGTGTCCCTGGTATCCTGAGCTTGGCTAACAGCCCGCGGCACCTTGGCAGTGACAGGCCTGCCTGCCTGCCTCTTAGCCACATTGCTCCAGGCTGGGCTGGCTGCTTCTATGGGGACCCTGCCATCTCTGGGACTATCCTGAGGGTGGCATCTGTGATGGGATTCAGCCCGGGGGCAGCCACCCAGTTCTCCTTTGCATTGGTGGAGCATATCCTGCAGTGGCTTCTTGAGGAAGAATGCTTTAAAGGGACAACCCCTGAGTGTGCATAACGTGATGCCTCCTGCCACACTCCTGCTTTCTTGGGAACCTGCTGTCTGTCTCTGCCCCTCATCTGTGACCCCCTCCTGGCCACTGGTGCTTGCTTGGCCCTTTGACCCTCAGTGTGTGTCAGTGTGTATCCCCAGGGAATCCCGCACACCTGTGGTGGCCTCTGCCTGTCCTCTTCCTCCTCCTCTCCCATTTCCTACCATCCTGCTCTGTCTTGCTTTTCTCCAGTTTCTGGGAAGTCACTTAACTCATCCTCCAACTCAGGGGCTTTCTGTTCCAGTGATCAGTTTCTCATCTCTCTTGTCCAGACAGTCTGCACTTTCTCTTTCGCCCTGCAGGTGTCCCTATGACACAGTGCCTGAAAATGCAAGGGCAGCTTCTGCTTTGCAGGTCCTGCCTCCCTCCCAGCTGCCCTCCTTTGCTCTGTTTATGTCTTAACTTCCCTGCTGAGCACCTCACCCAGGCCCCGGGTAAGCCCTGGTCATCTGCTCTGGTCTCACAGGGAAGTAGGTATTGCTGGCCAGATGTTCTAGGCACACAGGGCTTATTACCTTCTATCAGGGGTCTTGGGGGACTATTTTCTGGGAAACCCCAATGTCAGCTTTCTTTGGACTAGGCAGGTCCCTGCAGTGTAAATGCCTGGAGTGTAAATGCCGGCACTCTGGAGCCTGATGGAGCAGGGGTGGGGGTGTTTCCAGCCCAGGCGCCCTTCTGGAGAAGCAGCAGCTGCAGCTTTCCTGGATTGTGGGGTCGGGGCCCAGAGGCATCCCTGTCAACTCTGGCCCAGCCCCATTTTTGAGTCCCCTCCTGCTCCCACTCCAGGGTCTCTGCAGTTGCTGTTCATAAGCAGCTGGGATCTGTGGGGTGAGTTGGTGGCCATTGTCCTGGTACTGGCTCAGAGCCTGCTCTGTGGAGTCTGCCAGGTCAGCAACCACCCCTCCCACTTGGCCTCTACAGTCCTGCTGCTGCCAACTCCTGTCCTGCTCCCCCCACACTTGAGGGTTGTGTCTTTCTAAAAGCCTGGATACCGTAGGGCTGTGGGGACCCAGGAAGAAGAATCGTGTGTCCCCAGGACTCTATCACTACCAGGACTCCGAAGATGCCCTCAGCAGGGGGCTAAGTAAGCAAGTGAGAGAGAGCGAGTGCATGCACGAGTGAGCAAGGAAGGGAAGGGTCCAGGGAGTGCATGAGGTCCATGTTTGAACCCCACGACTCTGCACAGGTTTGGCACAGCACAGACCTCCTCACAGTCACCACGCAGGATGTGCAAAGCAAGGCGAGCACAGTCTTATCCTTGTCCCTAAGACCTGAGACTGCCATGTTGGGGATCCCAGCCCCTCCTCTGTCTCCTTCTCAGGGAAAAGCCGCTATGGACTTCACCTTCCCTAGTGTTAAGTCAGGGAAGGAGACAGGTAGTCTATGACTGGCCTGGTTGAGGGTATCTGGGAAGTCAGGGAGGAAATTATTTGGGAACAAAGGAAGCCTCCATAGCCCCATCCCTGGCCTGTGATCTGCACCCTGGGAGCCCCATCCTTGGGCTTACGGTCAGTGCCCAGGGAGCCCCGTACATGGGCCTATGGTCTGCGCCCAGGGAGCCCTTGGAGCACTGGGTTTGCCAGGAGTCCCTCTGACTCTCAGATACCCTGAAAGGTCTGGCACTTCCTGAGGCAGGAGATACTTCTTTTCATGAGGCCAAAATTTCCCCTGCAGCCAAGCATGTGGGGGCCACCTGGCAGATAGAGCCAGGAAAACAGCAGCCGCTCACCCTCAGCAGCATGCTGGGATTCTACCTGACCAGTCTCCAGAGCCTCCACTCTGCCATCTGAGACTCTTCCACACCAGTGGTTCTGGGCCATTTCTATAAGAACTTACTTGCCACAAGGCACTTCCACCAGAAACCAGCAGATCCCGTTAGCTGGGTGAGAATTCTCTTCCAGCCTCTTTACCTTGAGACCTAGTAGGTGAGACCCACAGCCACCCAGCTGCAGGTGCTGAGGGCTGGAAACACAGCTTGGGTGATTTCAAACCCAATACAGGGAGGTAAGGAAGATCATGAAATACCTAGAAGTTTCTTACTGTCCAATTTCTGCCTGTTGAGGGGGTTTGTGCCATAGAGGAGAGTATGTGCTTCTGAGTGCACCGTCTGTAGCTCCTCCAGGGTGGCCTTCCGTCCACGGATGCTCTGAGGGGACAGAAGGGAAGAGGATGCTTGTACGGCCAACAGAGGCTGCTGTTTCTCTTGCCATAGGCAGTGATTCCAATGCAAACCACCCTGATCCCACAGAGTGACGAGGGAGCCACCCCGATCCCACAGAGTGATGAGGGAGCCACCCCGATCCCCCAGAGTGAGGAGGGAGCCACCCTGAATCCCCAGTGTGACGAGGGAGCCACCTCGATCCCATAGTGATAAGGGAGCCATCCCGATCCCACAGTGTGAATGAGCCCCATTGGATTTGATTATTGCAAAATAAAAAGCAACATCACCGACATAATATTTAAAAGTATTTAAGAAATATTTTAGAGGGCTTAAACTTTAATTATAACTTTGAAAAAACATTAAGAGAAATAATTCCAGCCTTCAATGTGCTACCCTTCTCTGTCACATAAGTGCTTTGGCATCAAATTATTACTTTTCTTTCCAACTGTCAGAGTCTGGTCTTAAAATAGTGGTGAGGTGATGGAGGCAGCATGAGCTGATTTCCTCTGCTCATGATCATGGGACTTTGGGGTGCCTCTGAACCCCCCTCCCACAGGACTGCGAGCTACTGGGCGGACTGCGGTATGTGTGGGCCGCCACCCACATGGCCTTCTGCATTTCTCTGTTGTGGAAATTCCTCTCATCAAAATACCTGGCCTATTTTTTAGACCTTCCCCAGAACAGAGAAATTCTACTCTTCAGTTGAGCTGTACTTATTTAAGCTTTTCAAAGGCTGGTGGATCAGGACAGGAGACTAAAGTTAACATGTCACATGGAAATGGCTCTCTAGCTAACACAGGGAGACTCCAACACCACTGTGACCATGGCCCATTGTCACCAGAAGGAGCAGGGAGCTCCCCCCACTCCCTCACTGCTCAGCCCACACCCAGGTCTCAGTGTCACACACTCACCTATGTGGGTGGCCCGTGATGGGGTGTCCTGGGGCCATTTACCAAGCCCAGTGCTTGCAAAGGCTCTCAAGACAGCCTGGGCCTCGTCCACACAAGGTGGAGATGGAAGGAGTGGCCCCTGGCAGACAGCTCCCTCCTCTAGGAAAGGGGTTCCTGGAGGGCAGTTGACCTGGGCAGTGAAGGTCTACTCCAGGGACCTTTTTCTCATCATTAACAACAATTCCACGAAATCAGACTCTTTCTTATTATACTATCTTGTTCCCATGGTGGAAAACTAGCCTATGATTCCATTTGCAACTGAGTGTTAGTTCTACTTTGGGGAGATAGCCAGTCCATGCAAAGGCAGACAAGGTTGTCTCCCGCGTGGGGGCAGCAGGCCTGGGGGAGCCCAGGCGGCTGCTGTGGACCCCCTCCTATAAGGCCCTGAGGAGTGCTCCTTTCTATGCAGCCATACAGTGTGGCTGGGCTGAGCTCCGCCTGGACAGATGGTGTCTGGGAAGGCCATACTTGGAGAGGCCATTGTGGGGAGTACCCAGGAGCCAGGCAGTGCAGTGCCAAGTAGGGGCAGGTCCTGCAGCCTGGAGAATAGCAAGGCCACAGCACCTCCTGAGCTCTCCCATGTAAAAGCTACCCTGCTGGGTAAGACCTTGAATTGTGGCAAGAGAGATTTTTTTTGGGGGGGGGAGGTAAGTTTCATCCTTTGAATGCTGTGGAGTCACAGGCAAGAGAAATTTTAAGTTAGACCAAAGGAAGAACTTCCAAATTAAGGGGAATGTTAGATAAGCCAAATAAGAAAAGTATAAAACATCCATATTCATGAATACATAAAATGAAGACAAGGTACAAGACAGGCTGTGTGACGTTACAGCACCCAGACTGCAGGGTGCTGGAAGGCACATCCACAGCCACTCTGAATCAGTGGCAGCTCTGGTTAGGAGGCTGATCTTGTCATTTCTGTCTCCTTTTTAACTCCTGGGACAAAATTTCAAAAGCTCCTTAGGGCCACAAACTCACAGTCTGGAGAGGCACAAAAAAATGCTGGAACCACCCTAGTCCCTTCAGCCTCTGACCTTGGGGCTGCTTCCCCTCCCCCCTCTACCCCATCCTGCAGCTGCTCCTGGGGACAGGAGGGCACCCAGACAGCACGGAACTGGGCCAGGAGCTACCTGGGCCCTGTGAGGCCTCTGAAGCAAGTGGTCATACACATGTGGCTGAGCTCAGGGCTTTTTGTGTGCAGCTAGCTTCCAGGTCTCTGTGAATTGGCCAGAGGACCTCTAACAGTCATAACACATGCCACAACCTGCCACCAGATGCCTGGCTGCTGTCCAGGGAGGTGGAGTGAGAAGGAGCCGGGTTGGAGGCCAGTCTTGCTGGCCTGGCCTCCAGGCAGAAGAGGGTCCTAAGCTTGTAAAGGAGACCTCCGGGTCCATTTCTTTCCTTCCCTGCCACGTCAGGCCCAGTGCAGCAGTGCCAGGAAAAGTCCACCCCTGGGACCCTGGCAGTCATCTACCCAGAGGGAGGGTGCTGACCAAGAGGACCTCTAAGGCCTGGGTTCTGGTCTTTCTGTGGCCCCCACTTAGTCAGGGGCTCCTAGAGAGTCCCGTTCACTGTCTTCTCTAGCTGGGTGCCGCTAATGGTCTGTGTCCGGCCTCTGAGGGCTCCTCCAGGACCCTGGTGGCTGACCCCTGTCCATGTGGGCTTAGTTAACATGTGACAGGCTCTTCAGCACAGGTGCAGCTGCAGTAAGGGTCTGGCTCAAGGAGCACACTCAGGGTCTGGTGTCAGCACCGCTGCCTCCATGGTTTAGTCAGAACCACCCATCTCTCCCCAGCTCTCCTCTCCCTGTGGCCCTGCCATGATCCATCTGATCCCACTGCCCCACGCCGGGGAGCCTCTGCCATCCCTTGGCCCAGACATAGCGGGCATCTGTATCCTGGCACCAAGGAAGGAAGAGGGGAATCGAGGGCCACTCCCTTCTCCCTGCATCTCCATTTTCTCATGCTTCCCATGCTCTTGTTTGCTTTTCTGGCTGACAAACTGCCCCTGAGCCCTCCTGGCCTGAGTGGACCCTCCTAGGGAGGGGAGAGGCAGAATTTCCAGAGGGACAGGAAGCAGCCATGGGGAGGCTGGAGTACCCCTGGAAGGGAGCAGGTGCCAGGAGATGCTTCTGCAGCTCAGTCCGCAGGGCGATGCTGCCCCCCAGTGGCGTAGCTGCCCTGGCCGATCCCGGATACAGGCGCCAGTGGCCTCCTGTGATAGCTTGCTCCTCCGGGGAGAGGTTTCTGTGTCTAACTAATAGGTCTTGTCCCCTTGATACTTATACAACACCAAAAACACTGGTGAAGGAAATCGGGGTACCATGAGCCACAGAATGACTTATTTCTAAACACCCCAGCTTCTGGAGGAGTGTTGGTGCCTTATGGAGAGGATCCTGACATGGCACCAGGCACTCTGTGGGCAGTGGGACCTGCCCCCTCATCTCTGCCATGTCTGCACGGCTGGCCCCTGGGTGGGTGGGTGGGGACCACTCTGTCCTCCCTGCACACTTTCTCTAGCCTGGTGGGATTTCTGATGCAGAACAGGGAACGCAGTAGGTCCTATAAATGGGCATGGGCATGGGCAGGGCATTATGGCCCCAGCACACCCCTGGGTAGATGTTGCCAGCTTCACTCCATAGATGAGGAAACTGATACTGGAGTCCCTCTCCCTGATGCAAGGTCTGGCCACTTTCACTTCAACTCCCAGGGCTTAGGAATCCTGGTGAGGGTGGCCTGCAGGGCAGACGGCACAGGGGCGGGCAGAACATCACTCAGCTGAGACCCTGCCTCATGGGCCTGGGAGTCCACTGCTGCCAGGTTGGGACAGAGGGAGTCTTGGTCCCGGTCAGTGGGGGGCTCGGCCCTCCCCGCCTGAGAGTAGGAAGTTTCTCTACCACCCCCAGCTGGCCAAGGAAACAGGACCAGCCAGAGAAGGTGGGGCTGAAACCCCCTCATGTGACTCAGCAGAGCAGCACTGGGGTGGGGCGCTGTGTGCGAGACACACTGAGTGTCTGCATTGCCCACGGGTCACAGGCATTTTGATCACCCTGGGGAGTGACTTAGAGGCCTGAGGCAATCCTAATATCCTCAGAGAAGCTTTTTATAATGTTCTCTTAGAGAACATTACTTCAAGGAAAAGTCACTAGGCATGATCTGAGACATGGTCTTATTTTCCCTGTGACCTTTGACCAGCACGTTTGGAATCCCATGGCAGCAATCCCATCTTCAGAAAAGCAACAGGAAGGCAAACAGGGACAGCTATGGACACAAGAACATGCTGGTCACAGGCACAGGCCAGGGCGTTGCCTCCTGCAGGGAGGATGTGAGATTTCAGGAGGACAATCTCAGTTCTGGGCAGATGGCCTGCAAGGCCTGCATGAGTGATCCTGATGGTGGGAAATGCTCACAGCCCCTTCCCCTGCATATTATTACAACCCAGAAACCCCATCTGCTGGGGCCCTGTAGGCCAAGCAAGAGATGACACCTAGAATCAAACCACCTCCGGTGATGTCTGAAGCCATAGGTGGCCCGTGGCCCCTGCCCCCTGCTGGTATTACCTCACATTTGCCACGGAGGCCGGTCTCCTGCAGGCGGGACCAAATGCTCTGTATTCTCCCAGCATGCTCCGGGTGGCTATTGGTGTTCCCACAGGTACACTGATGCTTCAGCATCAGCGTGTCGTACACAAGGCCTAGGGTGGAGGGCAGACACAGCTGAGGTCAGGAGGGCTGCCTGGTACTTACTTGCCACCTACCAGCAGGCTGGCCCTATCAGCAGTGGAACCCCCACTTCCCTAGAAGGGGATGAAGGTAAGGCTGAGTCCTCCTCAGAAAGGGGCAGTGAGCAAGCCTGCCACTCATGCTCATAGCACCGCCTGGCGGCCCTTGGCCGGACCACACAGGGCTGGGCCTCATGTGGGATCTGTGTTGATGGCTGTGCCAACTTCCAGAAGTCAGAGATTCTGGTCCCCTAAAATCTGTTGGGTTATGGACCAACAGCTGTCTCCAATTTTCTGGCAGACTGAGAATTGTCTAAAGCATTTGAAATTAAAAAAAAAAAAATACAAGACTTGGGTCCTGCCCAAGAAACCTCCAGAGTAGCTGGAACACAACACATAACACAAGGCCACTTAACATGAACACACACAGCAATGTAAAGAGAGCCCAGCACCAGCCGGCTCTCAGGGAGCAGCAGCAGTGGGAGGGCACCTCCAGGGGGAGCCCACCCAGCATCAGGATGAATGAGAGTAAGGTGACACTCACTGCAGTGCTGGGTGTCCCTGTCATGGCCAGGATGGTGTGGAGCTGCAGTGAGGCAAGCGTGCCTGGCCCATCAGGAGATTGGAGGGAGGGCAGGCAGCACCTCCAGGGCACAGTCCATGACCCCTCTGTCTGTTAGGGCCCCTCCTGGGAAGGAGAGGTTAGCCCCTAGGGACAATGAACAGGCGGGCTGCCTCCTGTCCCTGCCTGACATATGTGGGACTCCAGGATTGTGACAAGGAAAAGCCAGGCAGGTGACTGGTGAGAGGCATCTGTTGGCCAACACATGCTTGTCCAGGTGGGGAGGACAGGTAAGCCATGTAAAGCACCAGAGGGACCCACTCTAGGACTTCTGTGTAAGTGACAGTAGAGAGGGACTCTCCACATTTGTGCTCCTGTCACTGGGCACAGAGGCAGCATCAACCAACCAAGGTGAACTGCTATTCACAGTGACCCTATTTCTGCAGGGCCCAGCTTGGGGGTAGTTTTTGGTTCAATCATGTGTCAGGCCAACAGGAGTCAGTCCCCTGCACTCAAGAGGCTCTGGATACACTAGCCAGAAAGGCCTGGGGTAGGGATTTCTGGGAAAAAGCAGCAAGGCAGGTGCAGGCTCATGGGACTAGACAGACACAGAAACTCTCAATCAGCGTACCATGGTATAAAGGTGAGCAAGTGTGCACGGGAATCCGTCCTGGCCACCAAGCATACATCTATGGACTGACACGCACTGACCGCAAGGGGGTGTGTGTGTGTGTAAACAGTTCAGATGCCACTGATACGTGCATTGGGTGGCCCACTGAACAGGGTCACCATGATGAGGTCACATGGCTGGAACCTGTGAAGAGGCAGATACCCCTTCATAGATGGAAAAACAGGGCACAGAGGCCGAGAGGTAGGCAGGTCCACATTGAGGGCAGCAGGGCCCACAGGGATGTCAGGGGCTCTGAGGAGGGGCTCCATTGCTGTACACAGACACAGGACGATGCCCAGAGGGGCACAGTTTGGACAGACACAAAGGTACAGGAGAGTCCTGTCTCTTAAGACACATGTGTCTGTCTATGTGTCTGGCTCTGCACAGAAACAGGTCTGGGAAATTTAAGTCAAAGTACTGAGGGGCGATACTGCAGAGAGGGCTGAGGAAGTGGCATTCTGCTTCTTTGCAGTGAGTGTGTGCTGTTTTACAAACTGAAAAGAGGAACAAGGGTAAGCTAAGAAAGGGCACCGACAGGTGGGCTTCCCCAAAGTACACAGCGGCCAGCCACGTGGGCAGGTCCGTGGAGTTTCCTTTGTAAGCAGCTACAGCCTGCTTGTTTGAGCATGTTCTTTAAGGAATATGTTTATTTCAGTCAATGGTCAAGGACTTTTGGAGAGGGTCACCATAAGAGAAAGAAAATGCTGCAGTTTTCTTTCTGTGAAGCAATGTTTTAATTTCTGGATAACTGCTACTGAAATTTTTCTCTGAATATGAATGGCATCCTTCCAAGACCTGAAAAGGGAGACTTTGCACGGTGCAGAAAATGTGCAGAGAAGTAAGACATTTTGTGAGAATTGTTTGAAAAATGAAATTATTCTGTATTTACATAACTTTCTTCTTATTATGTCAAAATGTTATTAAATATTAAATCAAAACAATGGGATGAACTGTCCTGGCTTCCCTACTTGTCCCAAGAGGTAGACTCTGCCAGAGGCCAGTGCTGCCCTCCTATCCAGACTTCCCTGCTTGCACATGGGCCACACTGGAGGCCCCGCCCACCAAGTTCTCCTGACTCTTGGTGAGGCACTTCTCAAGCCAGAGCAACATCCTTGCCTGCAGACTGCTCCTGGCTACAACACAGATGGAAGATCTGCGGGTGAAGCAAGCAGGAACAGTTGTGCTCTGTTCTTGCACAACTGACAAGTGGACAGTCCTCAAATTACACCAGTAAGCCCCTGGTGCCTCAAAGTCAATGCTACAGACAGAAGCCCAATGCAGGAGGGGAGTGCATGAAGGGGTGAGTTGTTGCTGCTGGAAGTCAGGATTGGAAGCCCCACATGGCTAGGGACTGGTCTCTAGAGAAATACCATGGTTCTCTGGGAAAGATAAGGGGGGCTTTGGAGCACCCTAAAATAA